TTAAATGTCAGATTCAGATACAGACGTCTAGGTTATTCTGATTCTATTGCTTAACACAGAGCGTTAGTACAACCCGCTAGTAAACATGGTAGAGTTCGATGCTGGATAGGGTATTTCTATGTGTTGCCTGTACGGTAGTAATTCGAAAAGGTCAACTAAGGTTGGCGTCTGTAATACCTACCAAGAGACCGAATGCCATTATTTATGTATTTTTTTTAACCTATGGCCTAATTATACCTTAAGTGAGCATCATTGACGTCGTATGATCATTAAAATACCACCATTTCATCAGAAAAACTGAACATCAGAAAAATTCACGGTTTCACTGTGATGTCTGCGTAGAATAAGACAGTAAATAGATATGCGTATTTTAAAGCAGTGGCAATCAAGAACCGAAGTTCTAAGTATATATTTTTCGGTGTCTAGCTAATTAGGAATTATATGGAGTAAAGGTGTGTGATTTTGTCCTAATGACATAGTATACATTATGTTCATGTTGTACAATGGAATTAAAAGGGCTCTTTATTCGTTGCTGCAGTCATATAGGTATATAATGGTGTATAACAGCTTTCGGTTAATTTAGGTATTTTTGAGCCAATGATTATGACCAAAAGGCTTGCCCAGAAAATGTTTATACCAGCCCTAGCGTACTAATTTATAGTGATGTACTTTATAGTAAATTGAAATAGACATGTGCGTGCTTGAAGATCTATTGATTAAATAAATAAGAGCTGTATAGCTTTTCCTACACCGATGTTACGTTAGAGGTTGGCGGTAAATTTTTTTTTTCAAAATAGTATACCTCTATATATAAGTTGTGTGTACATTTTTTCTTAACAATTGCTAGCTATCTCAAATGTAAGTCCTGACAGAGTGAAATCAGTAGTAACTTCCGGCTACTAGTATTAGTAATTACCCTTTTTTTGTATGCTCTTAAACGTGTGATTATTGAGATAGCATGGTAATGGCCGGCATTTTTTATATACAGATCCAATCTTGATCGTGCAATTTTTGCGATGAGCGGGCGAGCGATGCAATTAAGCTCCGCTAGCCCTTGAGAAGTCTTATATGAATCCTATACATGTATCATCCTATATATGGTAATTCTATGTTTAGGAAAATCGAAATTTCATTTATCAGCTCATCCGTTGTCAAATATCTTTTGTTCCTGCTATAAATATCTTATAAGCACATGTGTGGAACATATATGGTAAGAAAATGTAAGGTGGTATTGTTGTAGTTCAGCGCAACAGCTCTAGCTTATCAAAAGGAAAAACTTTTAACATTAGAAGCAAGTTAACCCACATACTTTAACATACCCCCCGCCCATATATAACAATGTTATACCCATACACGAGATTCTGACCCGGTTCTGCCTCCTTTTCTGTATGGAGCCAATTATCAGGTTTATTTTGTATATATCTAGTCGTATGGATTCAGCAGTTGAGTGCAATTATATATTCTTTAGGTCAAACAGTCAGGTGCGTGATCATTTTCTACCTTGCTACTTTTCTTAAGGTGGTTTGTTGCATAACATATAGGCAATCATTTTATTAAGCACTTTTAATTGCGCTGGATATAAACAGTGATGATTGGCGAAAGCAGGATGTATGTCAAACTAAGAATCATTTGTTTATAGTTATCTACATCGAACACACCTGCGATAAACATATCGCTAAGAAAAAGTTCCAGATTTGTCTCTAATGAACACGTTTTTCAAACTTCTGCTGCGTCTAGCTTACGTCAAAATGCTACATAGTCATATTTCTATGGGTTTCGGAGTTAAGTTACTGAAAAGAGTGCTCGTGAGACACCGAAGCTCTCGGTCATGCTTGTTCTGGCTGAAAATTTAGTGCTTCGTATGATGGCCGTAAAACATAGAACAAAACTGGTCCGAACAAATGGCGACCCACTGAAATTGTCGTGCTTGAATGATTCGATGCCAAGTACAGCTTGTGGAAGCATTATGCCTAAGGAAAATTAAGCTAGATAAATAACTGCAGCGAAGAAGGGCCAGTAGGAGAGGATGAACACGAAAATGTCAACGAAATAACGAATCGTCACGTAGCTAAGTGGCTACTATTGTGTATTACTATCGGTTATTTACTATTGCCATGATTGATACCAGGCGTGTTTACAGTCTTCTTTCTTCTAACGGCCGTGCTATACAGACACTTACTGTGAATCTGGATCGCTACATTTAAATACTTCGAAATGGGATAACTGTAACTTTGTAGCTACAAAAAGCGCAATTCGAAATGCAAAGGCCTTACGAGATATTCACAGGACCCCATGACAATAGCCAAGTGTTTACTATGAGAGCGAAGGTAAGTTTCCCAAAAAGAGAAATATGTCCAACGTGCAAAGATCCTTGGACAGTAACAAGGCAACGTTAAACACTGCTCTAGCGAAAACTGCAATTTTGTATTCTTCTTTCCTATGCAGTTTTTAAGCTTACTGTTTATAAACAGATCGGGCTAACTTCAGTGGGCTAGTGGACACATCAGATCAGTGCTTTCTGCCCAACCCTTTGTACAAGGTTTTGTTGTTAATTGATTCAATTTTGAATGTATACATTAGTAGATATGCATTAGTCGGCTCCATATTTTGATATCATTGGCTATCCTATGGGCCTGACATTAGTCGGAGTCAGGTTTGCAGCTAGCGGCCACGAATCTATTTGCAAGTGTTGCGTTTTTTCCATGATTTGCAAACTCTGGAGGTTACGTTACGAGCGTCTACAAATGACTTCGCGCTTACGAATAAGGAGCGTACGTTGGTTTGTTATATTTTCTGCTAACAGTCATTGCTTGACAGGCCTATTTTCATTTGCTCGACAATATTTACCATCGTAAGAGCTTCTACTGAGCAATGGCTTGTCTGGGTTTGACAGCATATCAGCTTATCCAGGCCGCATATGAAGACACTTAAAGCTTTGGCCATTTTAGCGTCTTCAAAGCCACTTCGAAGATTTCGCAGCCTTCATTCTAAGCGTTTGCATATGTCTCAAATTCAATAAGAGTTGGTTTTAAGCACATGACCCGATGCTCTAAAGTCATCGATTTCTTTCCTGGCATTAGTCATTCCCCGCACGTAGGCTTGTGTTCCTAAGCTATTTTTTTGGCCTGCTGAATCGATAGCGTTTTACATGAAGGTGCCTTCTACACGTTGCCGGGCAAATGGGTTATTTTTACCCAGAATTTATTCGGTAGACTGATGTCAGCTTCAACAGTGCATCAAATATCGCCTCTATCTGCAGAATATTGATATATTATTGCGATCTATGCGATTGCGTACTTGCATCGATAATGTCCTACAAAATTTGGATAGTACTTTGCTTTTGGGGTCATCCAATACGCATGGCAGCTCTGCGTTGACTTTCAATATCTGTTGCAACTCGCTCATAACCTGATCAGTCTCAGTAAAGAGCTCAATAAACTTTCTCTACAAATTACTGTACATAAGCTGTCTAATTCTACATTAATATTAGGCAACGTTCCGTTATCGGTTTGACTAGAGACTGTCAAAAATTCAAGGGGCTACTCACGGGGTTTGCTTTATTTGCTGTATAAAATTTGCGTCCAACTACACCTAACGAAGTGTAGACTTACGGCAGATCAACTGTAGAATGGAGCGTTAGGGTCGTCCAACAAGTTATCAGGCCTTTCTGTACTCAGCCACGATACAACCAGTAAAACGGCCGTTTAATCCTATAACTTGGGATTCTCATTCCTTTGACGCTCCACGGATTTGTAAGCAAAGAAGCTATAAGATAGATAAAGATACAATGAATATTCAGAACTGCCGCAGCATATTGACACTGGTCTATCTGACTAGCGTTGTACATATGGAACAATATTTTGACCAACTCACTGCAATCCAAAGTGCAATTAGAGTCCTACAGTTGAAAGGAAGATTATTTACGTGTTATTCAGTGACTATCAGTTAGGCCTGCAATGCTGATTCACGCGAGGCAGCTCATGCTGACATTCTCCGTCTTACTTCAACCAATATCTGAAATGACATGCGTGCCAGATACAATGTTACTACGTGAATCACCAAAAAACATAAAGAAAATTGAGTTCCTTGGCTTTCTGACTAGGCTGGTTAATCTCTTTTGCAGTATTCTTTGATGCAGCTTTTTTTTTTCTTCTTTTATTTAATCCTAGAATGGGAAATACGTCGCAAATTCAGAGAGAATTACAGATGTTATCGAAGAAGTTAACTAAGTGTCGTTAATAACTTTTTCTGATCTATGTACCGAGTTAATGCATTGCCTGGAAATGCTTCGATGGATGGCAGTTGTTCCTTGCTTGCCACGATAACAGATGTCCATGAAGACCAGGATTAACGTTTAAGGGCTTGATTCAGGAATACGGTGTATTTTTCTGATGAAGCAGCAGTGATCAGAGAGTTTTATTATTATAACTATTATTGTAATAACAATAATTTTTGGCTCACTAAGGCGAAAGCTTATATCCGAAAATTCTACAAAAACAGGCAAGTGCAATCGTTGCTGAAAAATTAGTTACCCATCATATATTTTTCTCTTGTAAAGAGCTTCCGTGCCTCCACGCTGGGCTCTATTACGTGACATAAGCACGTTATGCCGAAACCAAGTTACCAACCCATAATTTACACAGTGATTTTTTTCTTTTAGAAGTTGTTCTAATGCCTTTACATGTAGTGTAACATCATTATGCCCGCATCAAGTTTCCTAGTACATCTGACCCCGAGCCTGGCTGTATGGAATCCGTTTATGTCTGTATTTGTAGAAAGAGCAAGGCAAAGCAAAATGTGACGCCAAAATGTACAGAACTCATCTGACGTCATTAAGGCCATATTAATGGTTTCGAGTGGGTTGTATGCCTACCATGACAATACTATTTATCTTAGTTTAGGCCTGACTAGCACTTTAGCACTTGCATAACCATGCGTATTATTATTGTATGATTTAATTATTTTTACTGCTTTGTTTTTATTTTCATTGTTGTTGTATATATATATATATATATATATGTATATCAAAAGTTATTAGGCTGCCAGTGTAATTATATAATGCAATTTTTTATTTTCGAATCCTTTATTTGTGATTTTACGCATTCACTGACATATATTTTGTTATACATTTATCTAGAGTGGTGGGCGGTGGGATTTTCCTTATTAACTTATGATATAACAAGATATTATAATATCTTGTTATTTTGCTGTATAATTGAATTGACATTTTATTTAATTGATATATATAGTTAGAAAAACGAGAAATGAAGCTTCTAAATTGAAGTATTATGATGCATAGTTTTGGATATTAGACGTATTATCATCGTCATCTTATTTAATTCTACATCATTTCTATTGTAACACTACGAAATAGTATCTATCAGAGATACGTTCCGACTCGTTTATGTAAGTAGTTGCATCGCGCATAAATTACGATGATTGTTCTACTTAATAAATAATTATTTATTTATTTAAATTTCAATACTTATTTAAAGCGGTGGGTGGTGGGATTTTTTTTTATAGTCAGTGTTTTTTTGTAAAAACTAAATACAATTTGCTTTTTACAAGCGCATTTAGAGAGATTTTGTTTAGATCAAATATATATACTTTGAACAAAATGGTGGGCTGAACTGAAAGGTATCCTTTATTGCTTAGTGTATGCTGAACCTAGTGAATAATTGGGTTATAGAATAGAAACTACGAAGAATAAAGCTAGGAAGAACTATGTACTTAAGCTTTGTTGTCATTGAATTATCTAATTCATGTGATCACAGCAGATCTACTTTCTCTTATGTCTGACATAGTGGCAAATTATCTTTAAATTTGTTTTTTCTTTCACACAGAGCTAGCATCGATGTGACATTTCGCCCAGTCGAAAAGATTATAAGGCGAGCCACTTGCTTAGCAGCTTACATGAGAAGACTAAAAAAATTCAAAATAAAGCAAATTGTAGAACCTGATTTGTTTGCCTAAAATAAAAATCTGTCCGATTCGGGTCAAATATCATCGGCTTTTACGACCCAGTCAGCTTATAACAAGTATGCTTGCTTCATGGATAAAACAATGTTTGCACTCGCCTGTGGACATCGGGCGTACAGGTCCTCATTAGACTAGCATTCATCATAACGGCCCCATACCCCTTTTAAAAACGTTCTTCAGTTGGGGTATCCCGGTTTTACATAAGCCAGTCTAGCTGTTTCAAAGACCAAAATGTGACATTTACGTGGCAGAAATAAGCCCCTGTCCCAGCTGAAACTTAGGGCTATGGACTAATGCGGCCTTGGTGTGTGCGTGTGTGTATGTGGTATTCAGGGCGAAAATTTCCTAAAATATAAGTTAATGAAAATGTTTTAAACGACATCTTACTTGGATGACTCTCTCTGATAAACTACAATAGCAGGTGAACGGAACGTAAAGAAGATTTTGCCCCCAATTGCCGAAATAGTGGAACAATCGAAGTTATATCGTGAATGTAAGAGACTATTTATTGTGTTGGTTGAAAAAAGTTAAATTCCCTTAACAGTTTCAGCTAGAATTTGCTAGTATTCAACGGCCCGTTGGGACACTCGCAAAAGACAAAGTACTATGTTACTTGATATAGAAAATATATACTAGAAATTATGGCTTCAAGTTCAAATAGTACGCTTGTTAATCGACAATAGGGTCACCATTTCGAACCCACATGCTTCTGACTACAAGTTTATCAATGAAGTTTTTATAAGTACGATTGCTTCTACTCGCTCGTGATTTGACGACGGTGCTCGACTAAATGCATGCAACGTCAAATGTCCGACTCTGGCAATATAGAATACGTGCTGTCGACGGCATGACAAAACACAACAATGGGTATACAGCTGAACGCCTTCAAAAATGTCAGCCATAATCGTAACATCGGTTGAAGACCAACATCCGCTTCCGGTTGAGCCCGTTCCCCGTGCCGTCCCTTATGACTGGTAGAGAAGTGCTCCTTGCATTCCCCTGAATTCATGCGTGTTTATTGATAAAAACTTAAATGCCATCCACTTAACGATACGCGCATATACATTCGATACATATATTGTACGAATCGAAAAGTCAGAACTGTTCTTTGGTAGAAGAGAAGCTCGCTTTTGCTGCAATAAATACACCACCCAGCCCCAGAAACTCGATCGTCCACCGAGATTTCAGCTTAAAAGTTAATATGGCAGGGGCTACCTTACCGAAATGACAACTAAGAGCAGTACGGTTGATAACTGGGAGGAGTTGACTATCCATCAACTGAAATATTATGAAAACTAAAAGATACCTATTGAACCTTCCTATGCTTATTATTAAGGGCTGAGCTATCTTACGCTTATTTCTTTTCACAGTTACAAAGTTTATCTATAACCGTCGGCCGAAAGAATATCCGCATAGCATTGTCATTTCTTACTTGTCTGTATATATATTTCAATAGCTGAATAACCTACAAAGACCGTTTAGCCTCTGCTTATCGCCGTACAATGCTAGTCCGATTTTGAAATCGCTGAATCTTTACGCATCTGTATAATTTTTAACAGTTTCTCCAAGCGTTCTTCCTAATCTAACATCTCTAATATATATTCTATCTTTAGTTCATGTTGCCTGTATCTGCGTTTTCTTTCGGTGCCAATTTTCTATACACCGTATTGTTCAATAGAAGCTACGTATTATTCATTGGTAGCTGTATTGAGAAGCTGCGCTAATATCAGCCACCGTAGCTGGGGAAGATGCCCTGTCGAAAATGAATCGAGTCTCTCTGGCATGTTAACCGGGGGTCCGCTTTACTCTATTGTGTGGGGTCTTCGACACGCGTAGTTCGTTCGTTCGTTCGTTCGCTTGGCGCTCGTAGTCCGACGTCTCCAGAGACGCTGGGGGGTATCGACGCGAGTGAGAGAGCCAATAACATTCGCTGCAATAGAAAATCGCTCGGTTGTCAATTGGACCTGGAAGACTTAGGGTGATAGTGGATGGTTTTGTTATTGCTCTTTGAATAAAGAATGAATAGGGTTACTTGTCACCATTTTACGAGTTCAACTGAGCTCGTTAGCTTCGTATATCGAAATTGCAAGCATAACGAGAACAAAACATCTCGCAATGAATATTGACCCTGCTGACAATATGATGGCTTGCCGAAAACATACTATAACTAGTACAGATAATTTAATATAATTGCATTACTACAGTAAAATCTATCCATCTACATTGGATGTTAATACGTATTGGGTGTCGTCAAGCTACGAAGGAAACAAATTTTGCACTTGAAGTTGACTATCAGATAATAATGATACGCTAGGAACAAGTTCCATGTCTAGAGGTCACGATTTGTTCCATGTTTACGAAAAGAAGTTAGTCCACCTAAACGCACTTTAAAAATACCCTCCAACTAAAAACTTTTCCCATAACATCGCGTTCAGATTATTAGCACAGACAGCTGCGTGACAGATATCGCCAAGCGTCATCAACGCGATTCCATGTACATGCACGGTCTGCCTCCGCGTGCGTAACACGTTGCAAGTTCTTAGAGGAGCCGGGCCAGAAATCTCTGGAAAGAGCACCGCAAAACATCTAAGTGACGTGCTCCATTAGATGTAGAAACTTCTAACCCATACTCTAGGTAGCTGCTGATTGCGCAGTCATTGGATATTCCAAGGCTTTAATTTTCGATGCAAGTAAGACGTACAAAACAATGGAGATTTCTGTTCGGGCATTTAAATTATCCGTGACCCACTTTGGCGGACGAGCTTTGTGTATCTTTTGCCACGCAGTGTCTATATAGTCGTTGCTTTAATTAATTAATCCTAATTTAATTTGAATCAGTACCACTTTGCTATATGTGAAGTTCATTAGGGCTATAAATAGTAACATATCGGGCGTCGCAGCAAGCTATGTAAATGAGGGATTTGGTTCTACGAACAAGGCCAATATCATTGTTAGGCCTGGACAGGAAGCACGATTCACCTTAAAGCCAAGTCTACGTTAAGCTTTCCACTGAGCTTTGAAAAGCTGTCTTTCTTGCGACCACTCGCTTTTGTACCATCCATATTATACTATACTTATTTCACTGGCGGCTTTTCGACCGTTTTGCATAATATGCACCTAGGAACAAACTAACTCGAAGCCATTGCCGAGGTTGAGCGTCTCCCTACAAGTACTCTTGAGCGCAACACGTTACTCGAAAAACACATGTTTCTTAATTTGTTGAATTGTTCTTAAAAAAATTAAACATACATTTTTTTAAAGACCCTTAGACAAAAGGTAGCAAGAGCAAGAATGGGTCGAGCTCTTTCTCGGGCAATTAGCGTACATGATACAGATTTGTTGTATTATGAATTAATGTCATCAATAATAACGTAATAGTTAGTATTTTTTTCTCAATAGAACAAACAACTTTGCTGTCTCCCTCATAATCAACCATGTTTTTTTTTGTTTAATATTGTAAAATATACTGGTATACAGATAGAGAGGTACCTCTAATGTCTAATGAGTATAAATAAAAACGTTTTCCCAACTCTCACCTAACTTATGACGTGTAAATTTTATGATAAATTGATTTCCATCCTTAACGCTATTTTATTTAGCTAACCTATTTATACTGTCTCGGCTATTTAATAACCTTACGTAAACAAAGTAATTTTTTGAAATCGGCATCTGTACGGTGTTGGACGTCTTGGTGTTGGGTGTCTGTAATCCTACCTAAACAAGACATATTCTTAATAGCTTTATTCATTCGATGCTACAATCGAGTCATCACCAGAATATCTGATGATATCATAGGATCGCCTTTGGGAAGCCGACCCAGTAGTTAGGTGCTACTAGACTAGTACAGATGTAGTAACTGAAAAAGGTAGCGAAACAATGTGTGAAATCTGTTTAATTATTCTCTGAAGGAGAGCTTTATATAACTACATCTAGTCCTATTGTAGTACTCTCTACGTAGAAACATTCTCACTAGTTTGGCTGATCCGGTAGATTCAACAAATTAATTATACGAGTTATACGAGCTAACAAAGATATATTGGATATTTTATCGGGAAACGCTGATGCGGGAAAGACGTTATGACTAAGGAACATCAAGGTGAGTTTCCGCAGACAGTAATGTCTTTTTGAAGGTTTGTGTTGTTTCCAGCGAGACATAACCTAATTTTTAATAGCCATACAAATTCAATTTTTCAATTTCGTATTTGAAGTGGTTCATATATTTGTTGGTTTGTAATAGGCGAATCAATATAGAGATAAAACTTTATACAACGAAAGATTGAAAAAGATGGTAATAGAAAGGAGCAATGTCTAGACTATGGCTGAAGCAAATCATCCCACTTAAAGCTGTACGATTTTTAACGAGTCTCTAAAGACGTATGAGAGTGAGCGTTGGCCTGGCGAGGCATCATTCATGTCCTATCGGTTAGAACCAGGCCTTTTTTTAATGCATTGTCTCTATATATGGTCTAGCTATTTACAAAATGTAACTAGACATTAGTCTAGTTATTTAAGAAACGGTAGAATAGAAAAACACTCCCTGCAATCCCGCCACACGTGCGGCACAACCTTCTTTGGATGGGGTCTAGCTGAAGGACGCCGGATGTCCGGTTCCCATAGTTGTCACCTGCGAAATGTTTCCGAACGATCGATTCCAATTTTGCTCTGTCTTCTCTACTCCGGCAAAAACTCATAAGTGAGTTCTGATCGACTACAATGAGAATTTTAGCGTCTTCTTAGTCAGAAGATCGACCTGCATGCACGTTTTCTTCGATGCTGACGTTACCACACTAAAAACCAGCGAACCACCTGCTAACTGATAGATTGGCTATAGTATTGGGTTCAGGTATTCTCGAATGTTCTTTACAAGTTCGGGTAGTGCTTAGCTTTTTCCTGAAACAAAATTTCAAAATAGATCCCAAATACACTTTTGGGATCTTCATCTTTGGGAGATTGTGCGGCTTAACCAATACGTGCGATCGAATCAAACATGGCGCCAAAAGACACGTAATACAGTGAATAAGCGTTCGCCCTTCCGTACCTAATTTTGTTCGTTGTTCATTTCATTAGGGCAATTCCGTAGGACAGTCGCATGTGTTTAGGTGCATAACATAAACCTAGGAAACGTGTTAACTGAACTCTCCGATAATGTCAGACCTTTTTCTTTGTGCTGTGTCGTTCATTTACTTAAATTGTATTCTTCATTTTGTTGACATGAATCGTATTGAGTTTTAAATTTTGAGGACAAAACTAGGAATTTAACCTTATATTTTTTTATTTTCTTATTTTTCTATCAACCGGTAATGATCGTTTTATGCATAGATGAGACTGTCATAACTTAACCAAATTTATCAATTAATCCAATTGACTATCATTACGCTATTAACCATCGTTTTATATATATATATATATATATATATCGACATTACGGTGTGATAGACGGGTACTTGGGGCCCTAATACATCCGAATAAGTTTCAGTTTAGATACGTGAAGGAAATGCAGACCCCTAAGCAATACAATAGTTGAAGTTGTCCTTAGGGGATGCTGGTAAATCTGAATTGTTCATGATGGACAGTTTCTCGATAGTAAAAAATAGGACTGCCGGATAGAGCATGACTGGCGTGGTCTTTTTCGTTGAGAGGCGCACCCACCGAAGAATGTCCCAATCTTACCATGAATACAAGTGATTCGATGAAAGCATAGGAGAAACAGGTTCGAGCAATGAGCATAGTATGATTGTGGGGACGAAAGTACTTTTAGGCATTCAATCTCTGCTTGCGAACCCTTGCTAGAAAACATAATCGACGACGTCGCTATTGATTATACAACATGGATAGCTTTTTCAACTTGCTTCCATTAGGGTTGCGGTATCTTACCTTTTGTGCGTGATACTTTATTACCGAAGTCACTAGCGGAATAGCAGAAGCTGCAAGGTGAGGTAGCCTCCGCCGTGATAGCAGCTGGCAGCGACCTCCAGCGAAGATAAGAAAAGCGGCCGTTGCAGAGCCCACTTACGGGTTGTATAGTAGAAGGAAAGCTTTGTTTACCTTGTGCATCGATGCTAATACCAAGACATATCCCTTCAGCTTTTTTTTCCATAGAAGAGGCGCCAAGAAATAGAACGGTTCTGCGCTCACCCCCGCTAGCACCCCACCTCCGGCATCAGCCGGGTTTCTTCTATTAGGACAGTAGAGACTGGATTATCAGCAGCAGCATTGTGAAGGCTACGTACCTATCACAACAACAGCTCCGCTCAACCTCGAATTGGAACGATGGCTATAGGGGACTCTGCACTACACTCTATTCTTATTGCCCTATTCCTGTTTTTTTTCCACGCAGACCCCCTCTTCTTCCTTTTCTGGATACACGCACCATTCACTGTCTTCTACTACTCTCCTTCATTGGCGTCTGATCATGATAACAGCAGTAGAAGCGTGCGTGGGCATCGCGTCACGTGGCAGACTAGATATTCAGCTGTACCGTAAGGGTACCGACGAAACAGCGGACTAAGACAAGTACTAACGAGTTCTTACTAGTCAGGCGAATGATCAATAAACCCCCACACTTGACCCCCTACGGGGGTAGGATGTTAGAGTTGTGGCACAACTACATACTATCGCAAATACGTTGAGATTTTATCCGTCGGTATGTGATGCTATTAAATTATTATTGATTTTCGCTGTAAATCAATATGCAGCACTTATTGTACATTCTGTTCAACGCTAGCTTTCATTTCGTTTTTGTCCTGCAGCCCTGATTTGCCTTTGAGAAGTTCGTGAATTATTTGTCTACACACCCAGTAGCTTTCGATGATTTTCTGGTTAAATATTGTCAACAAATGGGGTTTCCAAATCGTTTTGACAGTGTTGAGTGAGCTTGAACATGGATGTGTTTAGGGGTTTGGAGTACCTTTGTCCGCTCTGATTGAAACACATATGAAACATTGTGCGATTTACAAACCTGTTTATGAGTGAGTCAAGCACAGCGTACGATGTGCAATTGGTTGATGGCATAATAACGTTCTATGTGTTGCAGCTCTACACACTCTGCGCACGATATCGCAGCTGAGAGCCAGGTGGGTCGTTTGATTCTAGCATGTTAAAGCCCATATTACACTGGCTTCAATGGAAAGTTTTCATAAATGTGCGGAGTGATTGTGCACTTCATCCAACTGTCAACGTTCCTCGAATGGCGCCAAAATTTTATCCTCTCAGTATGGAAATGCTCACGACAGCACAAAGAGTAGTTCTTTACTATCTAATGACATTATTACACATAGAGACCCATTTTCGAGTGGTTAGTTCGCACTCTAACACATTCTACACATATATGAATTATGCACCTAATCAATTAGCTGAAGATCCTAACAAGGCTGGTGCCCTGTTTGCCTTTTGCCTACAGATAGATATACGCAGTCCTACAATTCGTAGTATCGCCCCTGGCCTTCATGTTGTGATTGACGCGCCTCAGAATAGAAACAAGCTTAAAAGCGAGAGTGTGTATTTTGTATCGTCACACCGAATTGTGTTGTCGAGAAAAAAGTTAACGATGGCGTGCGAACCGGGCTATCCATCGAATTTCTTTCAATTTTCGCTAGTTAGATAAATATATTTGATCGAATGCTGCTATGGTGGAAGAGGTACTTTTTGTTTACTAT